ACAAACAATCACTTTTGTATGTGACTTACTAAAGCGATATATGCAAAGGATCCCAAATTGCCTACAAAATACATGGTTAAGTAACTTACTTGATTAGCTATGGGATACTGTAGACGTTCTGCCTTGAAGCCATCGCTTTGCAGAGGGCAGTACTTGTGCTGGAAATCCGCCAAGTACCCACAATTGTTGATAAGCTTTCCTTTAGGGACCCTGAGAATAAAGTATCTCACTTCCACCGATTTCTTCAAACAAAAAATGCTAAAACCTACGAAAATATGATTTCCAGAGGAAGCGTTGGTAGGTATGGCGATACAGGGATGTACATATTGAACCGTCCGCGTTTCTTGTTACAACTTTGCTCGATACAGTAACGATTATCAATAGTAACATTTAAGGTGGGAATCAAGATGCGAACGCCTGTGCCAAGCGGCTTCCTGGCAGAGACATCCGGAGCGCTTCGGGCGATCATATTTTTTGTGCGTTCACCCAAAGTGACGATTGCATCCATCTGAAAGGTTCAAAATTGGTCCCATGCAAGAATATGCATTGAATTTCAGTTACCCCGTTCACTCTGTTTCCAGAACGGTACACGGCCTGATCCGCACAGCAGTATGTGTGACAATGGCTCGAACGACATGTGGGCATTAACGTTGGTGCATCCGGTTGCAGCATAGGCAGATAAGGATGGTCTGAAAGACAGAAAATTTTACAAGTCCTAGTCAATCGAAAAGAGAAATCAAAAGCTTACCTATTTGATATATCATATGTCCTACACCTTCTGTAGAACCTCCAGACTTCGTCGATGGTGTAGCGTTTGGTGGGTAAAGATGTTGATAGCCATAATTGCGGTTATGCCAATCAAGAACGTACAAAGCGGACATGGCAATAAGGCAAGCAGCCATCACCACCACAAGAGTGATGATAGTACCTTGGGTCAGTTTCGAGTTGCAGAGCGGTTCCTGTGGATGGCACTGAGAACGACAGTTGCGTATCTGAAAAATAATTAATGTTAGCCAGTTAGAGATACGGAATAAGGTTGTGCTGAACCTTTCGTCTTTCCCTGCTTTCTTTTGCGATGGAGGGTGAAGTGGACGCAAGCGAGGTTCGAGAATAAGACAGATAGCTCTTATTGTCGCTGACAATCCCAGAGGACTGCTCGCTCAGGTTTGACGCTATCGAGCCTATTAGCTTCTTTCTCCTAGCATATCGGGCAAGTCGCTGACTGATTTCTTCGACCTAATCACCATACACTTAGAGATGATATTGAGCCAGCAGTTTTTGGTACTCACCTTGTCGTCAATTTTGGTGTCTAAGTCGCCCGTAAGCCTGCAGAGCTCCTGCATCGCTAGCACGGTTTCGTAGAAGATGCGAGACTCGTCAACTGTCAAGTGAGTGCCAATGTCGCGAACAGCATCAGGAATGACCTAAAAGGGAATTTTTTTCAGCTCACTGAAATTTATTGTAGTTGCGTACAGCTTGTAGCTCCTGCGCTATGAGACCAGTGCGCCTCCTTTGCTCTTCGCTTAGTCCCCATAATTCAGCTATTTCGGGTTTGTAGCGAAAATCGACAATGCGCAGCTGCTGCAAATGTTCAAGTGCGTCGCGAGACGGTTTCTCCACAATGTCTTCCTTCAAGCGGATATCGGATGGGCGAGTCATCTAAAGTTGAACAAATAAATTCGTTATCGATAAGTGGTCAAGGGCTAAATATTACCTGTCCAGTGATATAAATATCTCCATCGACCGTGAGCTTCGCAGCAGTCCGATCGGTACCGATTGCAACCGGTCCATGACAAACCAGAGTGCCACCATTCCGATACCATTGCACGTCGCTCTCTGGCGGCTCGAACGAACCAGGATTCGTAGCCTAGAATGAAGGAACTTTGGCCCGATCTATAGAAGCAGGTGGCTATAGGTGCCGCCTTGCAAGCTTCTGAATTATTCACAGAAGACCCGTGCTTAACAACGAAACACAGGCCAGACTGCCGGATGACTTCCACTGAATCAATCGCTCGAGTCACCTCTCTAACCGTACAGGATGTATTCGTCAGCTCCGATGATAACAAACTTCGTGCAGAAGTCGAAATCGCCAACAATTCGGAACTAGCTCATTCAGCGCAAGTGGTTTTTCGCGGTTACGTAAGAAAGGCGGAAAGATTGCAGTACGAGTTCCTGCACGAACAAGTATGGATACTCGTACAACCACATGGTGGGATCTTCCCGTAGAACTACCTTACTCATATGTATGTCAATATTTTAGAAGCAAAATCACATGAAGTAGCCGTTGACGTATGGCTCCCACGCTTCCCCCCCTCGATGAAAATCTGTGACGATCTAGAAGTGGAATATTCTGTGAGAGCTACTGTAGATCCATGGTTTATGAATCATCACGCTGAAAAGGTTTTTCGCGTTCACAGGACCTTAGTCCTGAAAATGCCGCACCTATCCTGCTACCAAAGGCATGTAAAAATTAACAAATGCGTTACACATGGACATTGGCATCATAGGTAAAGGTACTCGAGTTTGCAAGAGATTTATTGTGATTGTAGATGTAATTTCAGAAAATGCAAGTCTATAAATGGTGACATCTGGATTGATAAGGGAGCCTACTCGCATGGAGAAAAAATAAAGCTGAAATGGCAACTTCAACTCGACTTTGACTCGAAGTTGGAGAAGGTGAAGCTGACGCTAGTCCAACACATTGCACATAGGTACATTAAATTAGTAATTTTTCTCAACAATTTGAACAAAGTTTGCCTAGAATCCCTGGCCCAGATCACCCCTCCTTCATGAACAACAGCAGTAGAGTTGTTGCTACTCAAGAAATTGTGGAGAAGAAAGACGAACACTCGCGAGGTGAGCTGCTTATTCCGGAGCATCTCCCAATCACCATGGCGATGACACTTTGGAATGTGTTAACGGTGCGATATGAACTCCTCTTCGAAGTCAAGATGGAGGAGCATCGAAACTCCGTAGATTTCACTATTCCTATCATAATAGCTAGTGAACCAGTGCAGGTAAGGGAACTTACAATAACGTCTAC